CCTTTACAAATTGCTCTTTTAGCACGCCATCGCGCAGAAGGCGCAGCGCCTCGCGTTCACGCTCCCCACTGCTTTGCTCCATTTGGTCATGAATTCGCATAAGGCAACGGCTATACTCTACAAGGGATTCCCCTTCATTCTGTGTACGCGCATACAAGGTGCTAGTCAAAGTTGCAAGGGACACTGGGGGACCCAACATCCGACTAAGTAGGCCAACTAATTTTGGTAAGGTATCTCTCTCCCCAGGAGGGCTACAAAGCACTTCATCCTTAGCATCACCACCCAGGTGATCAATGGCTGCCCCCACTTGTTCATGTTCACCCAATCCCAGCTGCCTCCCATACAAGTCAAGTTCTTCCAACCACTCTTTAAAGGTTACATCCCCAGGCTTTTTGGGCGGACCACAAAACTTCGGCAACTTGGCCTTGGGTGCACGCGTTAGTTTCAAATTCTGAAACGCTGTAGCTAAAGTCTCCGCCAATGCTGCATTCGACTTTGTTATAGCCTCAGCTAGGCACTCGGGAACCTCCATGATTAACTGTCGGGATGAGTTAATTAATAGCTACTGTGAGTACCCACTACAATTTGACTACAATATCCAGAGACTTAATCAACACAAATGACTATGCGCGGGGTGCTCATCACCTCCCCTATACTACTAAACAGACTGCTGGTAGCAACCTACATGTTTCCCGTAATAGGCCTACATGAACCAAATTCGGGGCAACAATTCAATAAATTCTATAGCACACAGCGTCTTGTACATCCAAAAATACTATAACACAAAATAATGCATTTATGAGACAATATTAAAGAAGTCTCAATGAGTAAACAGAAATTTATATTCCACTTTGCTGGAGTGTTAGGGGTGCTTGTTATAGTCGTCACAGACACTAAGCTGCTCCAATCCTGTCTACGAGGCCACTTTTGTAGTAAATCCCACGATGGGGGACAACTTGGTGTTGTCAGCTTGCGCTGAATCAACGGTGTGGGATGTGAATCCCGGGTCAGGGAGCAGTAAGCCTTGTCCAAAAATATAACACGCCAACTCTTGGTTGTAACTTGCTGTCTCGGTTTTATTGTTTGTTGACTACGAAAGAAAACCCCCAACACTAGGCTTGAGCCTTCAATAAAACAGGACCCTGGCTGTACTACATGTATGTGATCATGGAGGAATGTCTCTGAGCTAGCAGTCGTAAGCGCTTTTCCTCACGCCATTCTAGGGACGCCGAAAGAGGCCGTATTACTTAACAACTTATGTATCTATGGGCCATTTCCATGCGAGTAAATCTGCATTATCCCTTGATTTCAACTAAGTCTTATAACATAATTGTTGTCTTAACTCAATTCACATAGGGTTATCACCAAAAGATGAATTATACATCAAATAAGGGTTACAAACATAGGATGATCCAGAACTAGTTCCTGTTTGGCGGAAGGCGACTACCGCACCCGAGGTGATGTGCGCGCTGTAAACAATTCGCCTTAAAGCAGCAGTTTAGATCTTAGTTTAAAGGTACTACATGTATATTCATAATCCATTTCCCCACAATAATAGTAGTAACAAAAATGACACCTGTTTCATGGTACCTTAAACTAAGATTATACAATATTTGCAAACACCAAAACCCAAAATGATCAAGTAATCACGAAATTATTTACTGGACTATGGAATGACAGTCTAAAGCATTCTGTAAAATCACGATATCTGGTATGTTGACAGAAAACCGTTTGTTTTTTAACTGCTCCTTATTTGTGAAAAGCCTACGGATGATGACCCTGACTGTGACCTTGACCTTTGACCTTTTGATCCCAAAACCAATCCAACTTGCCTGTACTCGAGAGCAACCCCTTCTGCAGTTAGAAGCAGATCTCATTTCTACCTGAAATTAAACAGGAGTAGAAAATGTTGCCGAAACAAGATCCCAACTGGCCAAGTCAATGCATTTTATGGGTTGTTTCACTAGTTCAATGGATGTTCTGTAAGAAAAAAAAATCACCCTAAATCAGAGTTTGGACCTAGCTAACTTCTTTTTCCACTAGCCAACCAGGATACTGAAACAGAGGTGGCCCGCATGTTTTTCTTGTATACCGTGTCTCATAAACAAAAATGTGCGTACATGTAAAACGTGTATCATGAGGCAATGTTGTCAGCATTTTGAATAAACAGATCTAACAATTTAACCCAAAACAGTTAAAACAAGTCAGGTGTGTTTATAAACACAAATGCCCCGCAACCGTGACTGTTTCCATGACATAACACCACTCTTTTAACATCAACTTACATGTACCTTGGTCACATGGAATGTTCATTGACAGCATTAGTGTCTTCTGTAGGTTTTATATGAATAAATCCCTAATCCGTATGATCTCAGAATAAATACTAGATTTCTATTGTTTTAGTCACTGTGACCTTGACCCTTGACCTTTTGGCCCCAAATGCAAAAGGCTTCTTAGGATTTCCAAGGACAATCCACACACCAAATTTGAAGTTCATATGTAAAGTATATCTCAAGTTATCACGCTGACAAAATTTCTTTTGTTTTTGCCACTGTGACCTTGACCCTTGACGTTTCGGCCCCAAATGAAAAAAGGCTTCTTAGGATTAACAAGGACAATCGACAAACCAAATTTGAAGTTCATATGTTAATTTTTTTTCAAGTTATCGTGCTGACAAAATTTCTTTTGTTTTAGTCACTGTGACCTTGACCCTTGACCTTTTGACCCCAAATGCAAAATGCTTCTTAGGATTGTCAAGGACAATCCACAAACCAAATTTGAAGTTCATATGTAAAGTATTTCTCAAGTTATCGCGCTGACAAAATTTCTATTGTTTCAGCCACTGTGACCTTGACCCTTAGCCTTTCGGCCCCAAATGCGAAAGACTTCTTAGGATTAACAAGGACAATCGACAAACCAAATTTGAAGTTCATATGTTAATTTTTTTTCAAGTTATCGTGCTGACAAAATTTCTTTTGTTTTAGTCACTGTGACCTTGACCCCTGACCTTTTGACCCCAAATGCAAAATGCTTCTTAGGATTGTCAAGGACAATCCACAAACCAAATTTGAAGTTCATATGTAAAGTATTTCTCAAGTTATCGCGCTGACAAAATTTCTATTGTTTCAGCCACTGTGACCTTGACCCTTAGCCTTTCGGCCCCAAATGCGAAAGGCTTCTTAGGATTACCAAGGACAATCCACAAACCAAATGTGAAGTTCATATGTAAAGTATTTCTGAAGTTATCACGCTGACAAAATTTCTATTGTTTCAGCCACTGTGACCTTGACCCATGGCCTTTCGGCCCCAAATGCAAAAGGCTTCTTAGGATTACCAAGGACAATCCACAAACCAAATTTGAAGTTCGTATGTTAAGTATTTCTCAAGTTATCGCGTTGACAAGATTTGTCCGGACACACACACACACCCATCAAGGGCGGATCCAGAACACAATTTTGGGAGGGGCCAAAAAAATTTTGGTCCCCCAAAAAAGTGGGTCAAAAAAATTACGGCGTGGGGTTCGGGGCCCGCTTAAGGGCCCCGAAAAATTTTTGGATTCTAGATGCTCTGTGGTGCGATCTGAGGCAATTTCTGACCACTTTAACCAATTTTTTTTTGAGGAAAAGATGGTGGTGTACTCATTGCCTGCCTTTATTGCGATGTCACATAAAAAAAAAAAATATTGGTTTCGTTTTGGGGGGGGCCGTGGCCCCCTTTGGCCCCCCCCCCCCCTGGATCCGCCCTTGACACCCATCCACCCACCCACGTGTGTAAATGCCGGCAATCGTGGACGCCCCATTGTCCCTAATCCTCTTTCCTTTGTTTGTACTCTAACTTTTTAGCGACAGCTCTCATTGGTTTTGTACACGATTTGAGATTGTGGACGTTCGGTCAATCGTGGACGTATTGTTTGAGCCCACATTCTTTTGTCCTACGTCCACGATTGCCGGTGTTTACACACGCACCCACACACACCGACTTGTTTCACATACCTAGTGTGGACTTTCCTTTCTTTTCGTGTAGTTAAGGAACACCAGTGGAAAAACTCATTTTTCTCAAACTGTGAAAACTCTTACAACCCAATTTTTTTTCAATGATTCCCTTTAGTGTTTCTCTTCATTCTGCTACAGATAAACCTAACCCAAAAATGCCTCTAAACCTGTTTTCCAGAAATGGGGAAACACTGTGTGGACGTGGGCAAGTCCACACTTCGTCGCTGCTACCTACATTATGTGGACGTCTTTTGTTCGGAAGTCCACACTGCGTATGTAAGACAAGCTCACACCCACCCACCCACCCACCCACCCACCCACACACACACCCACCCACGGAAGGACAAGGCGGAAACAGTATGCCCATAAAAATTATACACAGAAGCTCTTAACAAAAAAGGAATCAAAGATTGTACTTTTTGAGAACGCTGAATAATCTTAATGTAGACAAGACAATTTTGGTCTTGTTCTATTGGGCCCTAATCCAAAGTGTACTGACGTACAATCTGGCATGTTACTATGGAAATGCGACGCAGCTAAACAGGGACCGCTTAGATCGTGTAAAACGGGTGGTACAGCGTGTGATTGGACAAGACCTGCCTCCTATCAGGTATTTGCTTGAACAAAGGGTCATGACTAAAATGGACAAAATTATGGGTGATCAAAGTCACGAACTGAGCACGCTTCCGTCAGTCATTTGTACCAAACTCCATCTACATGTTCAACCAACTTGTCAAGCGATAGCTCAACCCTTGGTCATAAATATTTCTCTATACCCTTTGTAACTGTTAACTTAGGCCGCAGTCAGTCATAGAATTAGACATTTTTTCGTGTATATTGTTATATTATAGTATATAATATAGAAAAAAATAATAATGGTATTAATTCACTTCTATTGGTTACTCATATTGTTAATTAAGTTTTTGTTAGTCGTAAGTTCAAATTAGTGTTTGATATATTTGCAAATGGACAGCATTGCAATGTATAAGTATATGTATGTACTATCTCTATGTTTGAAAATGCAGTGCTGGTGGAAAGCAAATTTCCGCATGCTTATTGTGGAAAATAAATTATCCTATCATATCATTATCATTTATCTCTTCCCGTCCATTCATCTTTGCCGTATCCCAATAATGATTGACTCACCAGCCGGGCTACTTAAAGAATAGTTTGACTGGCCCATCGCTGTTTTGACTAGCATTTGGCTAGCGGGCTACCGCTAATTTCGAACCCTGCCCTAAATACTTGGAAGTTATAGAATAGCAAAGAGTTAATGGAAAGTAACACCCCCCCCCCCCCAGTAAAATGTAACGCGAGTTACCATGGAATTGCTGTTCACGTAAAAATACTAATAACATCCAGTGTTAGAGACTGCAGATAGCACCAAAAAATAGGTTTGCATGATCAGTACATAAAAAAAAGCAATTGCAAGGTTAGTTTTACAACTAAATGTTGTAGCATATAATTTAAGATTAATAGGTTAAAAGTAGTCAAATTAAGGTTATATAATATATATTAAAGTTTGTATTTTTTTATAAGTACTATGATCATTATGATACTTAATTGTAGAAAATTCAATTCAAGTTTTTCACAAAGGAGAAATTCTGTTCAAGTTCTAGCCACGAACTTGATTGACCCCTTCTTGATTGAGCATAGTCTAGTTCCCGGGCCAAAAGATTCTAACTATGAATCTTGGGTCAGGTTGCCTCTAGTATCTTTACAAAATAAATGTATACAAATGTCATCACATGACTAAAACAGGAGGAATGCCTCATTTTTCCGAAAATGTCAGAAGTTTGCAGGATTCATTTTATCATAGTCAATGGGATAGCGCCCGGGTATTTCCAAGTACAATATAGGTTTTATCAACTGTCTAATTGCTTATTAAAAACCTTAGAAATGAGTTGATAATTACGCTGGGATGCTTGTTGACCTCATTCGCTATCCCCGTGGATCATGGGTCAGAACCTCATCACTAACACCACGTTTCCTCCAAAGAAGCTGCAAAGATGGCAGACCAAAAATAAAAAGATTATCTCTGCAACTAGCACTCATTACCATGGCAATGGACACTACAATGTAGCTTGGGTTTCAAAGTACTGTTTATTCTTTGGTAAAATAAATAGAATACTGCAGATGGTGTTCAAATTTTTAGAAAGTTTCAGAACCTCATTTCAAGTTTTAGTAATTTTTTTCACAAAGAAGTTCCTTCTCTGAAAGAGAAGTTGGCATTCTGGGCTGTAACCCTGAAGCAGGGAGGAAGGGGGTAAAAAGTCTAGCCCCAGTTTTGACAAGGGAAAACTTTTTCACCGTCCATTTTCATCTCAACAAGTGTTAAATAAAGTTGCCAAGTACTTTAACTTGCCCATAGTTCAAATCCATGCCTTGTACGGAGGTTTATATTTCTAGCAGTTGCAGCAATCATATACTGTTTCGAATGGTTACAGGCCTTCTATGTCTATCTCCACTACATCTTCAATTGCTCCTGAAATTACGAAAATGCACTTACATCTGAGCTTCTGAAGCCTGTCCACGATATCTGTTCCAGGAAAGAAACAAAGATTGGACGATTAATTCAGGATTTGTGGTTTACATTCAGCTTGAGATACACCATATTATAAGAAACTTGTGGTGTTCATTGGCTACATCTTCGAAAGAAACTGAAGGAGCAGCATCATCTACTGTGCCTGTAATTTAGGTTTGTTATTCTCATTTCGATGTCAACATGGGCACATTGGTGGAAATATTCTGAAATTTAATCTTATAAGATTTGATGTTCCTGGAGTAGAAGTGTGGACCCACATTGAGTAAGAGTCTCTGCAAGTCATTTCATGAAACTTTATGCAGTAGCGTATAATTTACTCCATCTAAAATGATTGCAAAAGCTACGCCATAATTTGTCGTGGAAATCGTGGACTTTCCATTTGTAATAATGTTCGTGAAATTTATCATACATTTATTGTGCAGCTTGTACATGTACAACAAATGTGTTGCTTTCTTAGAACCCTATGCATGGCATAAGGTATGCACTATTTTGTGAATTCAGCTGCTTGGGTTTAAAATCACAGAGCCTGAAGGCAACACTCAAGACAAAGCCAAAGGTTTGATAAACCCACAGAGCTACATGAAGTTACAACGAAGCACAAAATCCTCTATTTATTTATTTATATTTATTTAATCCTTATTTTAACTGGGTAGCCTATTCAGTAGAATCCATTGGTATCCCGTGGGGCCCAGTAAAGAGAAGACAATGTGAAGAAATTACAGTTTGAGATGTGCGAGGAAAACCCAAGAAAAATATTGTAAGGAAAACCCGTGGAAGCGAGCAGGGATTGAAAACCCAATCCACATATTGGCCCAGGCAGGAATCGAACCTGGGTCACAGAGGTGGAAGGCAAGGCAACTATACCCCTACGCCTACGTCAACCTGACTCAGCTCATTCCTTTGTGTGGATTACTTTCAGATGCATTTCAGTTTCAGGCACATTCATTTTTGCATCGGTTTTGAATATAAATGCAAGTTTGCAAATAGCCATACAAAAGCTGACTAACAAACATGAATAACCAAACAGGAGGTAGTTTAATGCACGTATAGCTCTATGGGCAAACCCAGGCTTTGTGAAGTTTTTTTTTACAATTTGATTCAAATGATTGGATTCAAGCGTATTCATGAGGAAGCCATTTTTGTCATGTTTTTATGTATTTTATGAATTGTAAACTGTTGAATAGGATGGTGCCAGACTATTGATGTGTCCAAGCCTCACATTCAATTTTTTTAACTGTGGCTTAAAACATCAGGGTATGTATGATCACAAATGTTAAATTATTCATCACTAAGCCTAAGCAGACTGGTCTTAATTTGTAATTAACTTTATTTCATGGCTTTCATTCCTATTAGCAAGTTCCAAAAAATGAACATTGTACCGTGCTTTCAATTTAACATGGCCGACTTGCGAATAAAGCCTATTGGGGGCAGATAAGTGTGTAGTTATCTGCCAGACTATGTGCAAACAGTTGACTTCAATGTTTTTGGTCAAGATCCCGGGTAAGGAACAAAGTTCTTTACTGTGGATTGGGCAGCACCAAGCAGACATACATATAGGGCCATTGCCTGGCCAACATCAAATTAATAACTCACCACCTGCAATTGGCCGATTTTCGGAATCAAACTGTCTGCAATCATCAATCAACTTCTTGAATTCACCTGGGCAAGCTTTAGGCAATGGCAGCTTGTTCTTTTTCTGGAGTACAAACTCCCTGATTTGACTGCCGTCCAAACCTTAAAAATAATGTTAAAAATAACAAAAAGGAAAAGGAAAGAAATCACTAAAAGAGTAAAGAAACTGTGAACACTATAAATTTCAAGGTCTTGTGAAGAAAAACAATTCTCACTGGGAACAGTCTCTATGTGCACGTGAATTCTTAAAGGTGAACTTTCATCTGGAGATTACCAACATTTAGTTGTTCATATTGTAATAATAACCATCCGTACACGGCTAGTACCACTGCACCAGGTGTATGAACAACAGTGTCTGCATTACTTTAATACCTCAATTCCTTTGTATAGCCTCACCCAGTAGGGCCCCTGTCTCATTGCTTATTTTGAATAATTATATACTACACTGCATTACAGCAAAGACAAGCCCTCTCTATGATCACGTAGAATTTTATTTTGTTATCAAAAATACCGGTATATAGTGCTCCTGCATTGAATGAGTGCCATCAATTGCATGCACAAAAATTAACGCAAGTGCTGTATGGGCCTAAGTCCGCCATCTGTGTTTTTGACGTTCTTCATCTACTCCCCACAAAGTGGGGAGTGAAAATCCTGTTTCCGAACACCATTTGCGTGTTGGTTCTGGTCATTCAAAACCCCGTTCTCGTGTTCATTCAACACGAGAACGGGTTTCGAATGCTCCCCCTGGGTCCCTTGGGAAAAAGTGGACTTTCAGACTGGGCGTTGGCCGTGCATGTTGTTTTGTAATTTTATGTAGTCATGTATGAGTACCAGTAGATAAATCTGCACTGCTGCGGCTGAGGTTACAGCCCAACAGTTTGAAGGTTCGATAGTCCGTAGGTTCTTTAGTCCGAAGGGTCATTAGTCCGAAGGTTCATTAGTCCGAAGGTTCAATACTCCGAAGGTTCGATAGTCCGAAGGGCCCATTCGTCCAAAAAACAGAATAAGTTTAAATAGTCCGAAGGTCGATAATCCGAATAGACGATAGGGTTCGACAGTCTGAATCGACAATAAGGTCCGATAGTCCGAATGGACAATAGGACTATATTGTCGATTCGGACTATTGGACCTAACTGTCGATTCGGACTATCTGACCTTATTGTCGATTCGGACTTATTTTCAATTCGGAATAATGAACCTTCGGGCTATTGAGCCTTATTGTCATTTCGGACTATTGAACCTTTGGACTAATATTAACCTTATTCTAAATTTGGACTGCCGAACCTTCGGACTACCGAACCTTCAGACTACCGAACCTTCGGAGTAATGAACCTTCGGACTAATGAACCTTCAGACTATTGCTTGAAATGTACAGAGTAACGAACCTTATTTCATTTTCGGACTAACGAACCCCCTCTTATGGGAATTTTGTGCATTTGGACTATCGAACCTTCGGACTAAAGAAACCTTCGGACTATCGGACCTTCGGACTATCGGGCGGTCCCCGTGGCTGAATCTGTTAACATGTGAGTTTTAGTTTAAAGCTCATGTAGCTCCCTTCCGACTGTTATTTATTTTTGTCTTTAATAAATTCTTGGAAATTATATTTTGCTTTCTATTCCCAATTTCTGTGGTTGTCCAAGATGGGGCGCCGTTACAATATTGTTTACTGGCTTTACTTTTTAAGGTCTGAGTCACAGAAAACCCCTCATGATTTTTAACATTTACAGAGAAATTTATATACAGTCGGCTCCCGTTATAACGAGGTCCGATGGACTTTCACAATACTGTCGTTATAGCCGGAACCTCGCTAAAACCGGAGCGCAGTTTTCCCCATTCGTTGTGCACAAGGTACGGCACATGTGCGTGCGTGTTTTAATCGTGTAACGCACGTCCGAAGACATGAAAAGATGGTCATTTGTTGGTATGTGTACGTCTGTTAACAATGTATATTAAATATTTAACTGATGGTGATGAATAAATGAAATAAATAAAATACCTTTAAGGGAACATTGTTCAATATTTGAGGACCTGAATCCGGAGGAAAAGGCATCATCGCTGAGAAGAATCAGGCAAGTAGGTCACTCGCACAAATCGTGCCGAGTGACATTTTGCTTTCATTTTGCATTTGCTGGAATCGGGCGAGAGAGGGCGCCAATACATGCATTACTTCCGGGTTTTAATGACTCCTGATCCTTAGATGCCTTTTGGTTGTTGACTTTTTGGAACAGTTGGGTATTATTGTTTCTGAAGGGATTCTTTGAAATTGTAATTATTTCGGTTAACTATAGCGCACATTCGTGCCAAGTGACATTTTGCTTTCGTTTTGCATTTGCTGGAATCGGGCAAGAGAGGGCGCTAATATTACTTCCGGGTTTAAGTGTCTCCATGTGTAATTTCGCAGCAATTGGTGATTATTGTTTGTCGGGAGGGATTCTTTTAAGATAATAATAATAAATAAACAAAAGTAATAATTTTGGATTAAAATTTGTACAATGTATATGTGGTGGGGCGTTTGAAGATCTTGGAAACCTGTTTTCATTGGGATTGTTTTTTCGGCGGGGCCGGAGGGGTTCTTAATTTGTTTAAGATTTTAATTTTTTTATTCTTTTTTGGGGGTGGGAACCACGGTATGTTTTAAACTTTATTTTTTGAAGACAGACTGAATTATCTCTTTTTGGAAGTTGTGGTGGCTCTGAAAAGAGCCGTTTGTTTTGTGATGCTGTGTTCTTTACTTCGTATTTTTTTTTATAGCCACAAGCCAACAATTACGCACCCGATGTTCGGGCGGTAGTACTAAAGGCTATTCCTTACAACGTTAACACTCAACTCCTGAGCGCCCCCAATTGTTAGTTTGTAATAATATAGAAATGTGGTACCGCAGTCGTAAGCAAACTTCAAACCTGGTCGCGCTAAGGGAAACCGCAGCGGGGGATTAGCGACTAGACCAGCGGTCCACTGCGTCGATTATCACAGTCCCATTGAATTTATTTATAAAGATCGGCGAGATGAAATAATGTTGGGTTGAAGTCTTTACAAAGGTACATTGATGGGTGAAGCTCAAGTGTGTTGCTTGAATTGGAAGACGGGAGCATGATACCCGTTTCGGGACAAAAGGTCTGTCGTTGACAAGCTGCAATGCCCGTAGTTTTGAAAAGATGTTGTTGTAAATGGGTTGAGAACAATGCTTTTCCTCGCATTGGGTCGGCCAAAATTGTCGTAATAGCCGAAGTCTCGTTATGTCCGTGCACGTAATAACCAAATATTTCCCCATAGTAATGTACACAAATTGATCGGGACTGGGAGAATGTCTTCATTACATCCGGGTTATCGTTATGACCGAGCTCGTTATAACGGGAGTCGACTGCAGTTGTGTGAACGCATATGTTGTACTTTCTAACTATCTCTCCAAATATTATCATTTTGTGAGAAATCCGAACAAGGTCCCTTTTAACAAGAACCTATTCCTAAATGCTACGTAATTGTTAAACAGAATAAACATAATTTTATATTTAATTTGTTAACTAACCTTCATATGGCTTTGATCCTGAAGCAATCTCCCACATCACAATGCCATAACTGGAAAAAAAGAAAGATATATTCTAATTAAATCTGTACATTTAAGTAAAACCAAAGATTTCTCCATAACCCTTTCCTGTAACTAGTCACTGATGCTGTTTTGAGCCAATTGACATTTGGAATGCTCAGTACCTCTCTCTTTCAGAAGAAGGAACAGCACCGAAACAACATCATCAGCGAGTACAGAAAAAGAACTCCAGAAGCAATGTCAGCAGTGGCTACTGCCCCAACACAATACTCTTAACAAAGGGCTCTCTCATAATCCGGTAAACATGCGGATACCAGAATGTAATAGATCCAATGGTGCCACACCCACTAGGTAGGAGGCAAGCATTCAGAGCTGTGATAGAAGTTTTAAAAATACTACCAACAAGTATCTTCCAAAACACAGGACACAACTGTTTCAACATGCAATTCAATATAGTGGCACAATCAACTGGAACAAACTTCCCAATTGTTTAGAAACTCAACTACTAAAATTAAATTGTGCAATGTACCTGTTCAATTGCTCTTTGTAAAATACTTCTCTGTATTACCTCACTGAGTTTGTTTAATCCTTATATCATTGTATACGTACCCTATTTAGGCTTGTACCAATTGAATTTCTTTTTTCGTGATTAGTGTTTTGTTGTCCGAATGTTTTGTCTCGCTGTCCATTTTGTCTCGTGGCATCCCCAGCTCAAGCTACCGCTAATGCTAGGTTCACACATTCCCGAAATAGTTATGAATACAACAAGAATAAACCAAGATTTGAAATTGGTTCCCGAATCACCCCGACAATTTTCAACATGTTCAAATTTGTTGGAGCGCTTTCCGATCTTTAACGATCTTTCTCTGAGCAAACAGAATCATCCCGAGGCTGCCAAGAACCATCCCTGATTTACTCAAGAATTGATATTCGCAAAGATTCAGCTTAAAATCGGGAATGTGTGAGCCTAGCATTACCGGGAAATGCCTCAATCTTCACCTTTTGTTTCAAGTAACTTCTTAATATTTTCTCACTTATTATAAATCGAGATGTTAATCCACATTATTTTAGTTGTATTCTATGAATTGTGAAATGGAAATAAATGTGAACGAAAAAGGCAAAAACTGTGAGAAAAACGCAGAGTCAAATGCGGAGTTGGCATGATTGTGACATCAGTACACACCATAGGTATGGACCACTGTGCCATTTGGAATTCAGTCATTTTGTGTGAAAATTAGTCCTACTGTCTAGTTTGCAATGCACAACGTAGTTGCTAACCAAACATTTGCCTGCTGTAATAGTGGTCAATCACAGGAAAACCAGACGTCATAACATCTGAACCTAGACAAGAAACACCAACAGCACTTACAGCCACAAAAGCAGAAACAATGGCAACAGTGCCATGCCAAAACAACAGCAGCAGCAACAGCAGATAATAAGAGATGAAGAGGGAATTGTAAATTTCATGTATAGAAACATACAAACTAAACAAAGCCAGAGTTAAAATGTGTTAATAGACTTTAGTGAACTCTACCAGCCTGAAAACCAATTAACGTCACAAAGTTGAGTATTCATTACTTGCACCCTGAGTATTTTGAACCAGTTCTTCTGATTTGAAAATTGCAGGCGTGTGGAAATCCACACATCTGGATTTTCTTGGCGTTCGATTACCAAGCGCCAAATCTGTGTTTCCAAGTTACTCCACTTACTTCAACAACCATGTCCTTCTCGCCGTCATCTCCTTGCACTTTGGCCTAATATTTGATTTTTTTCTCTTCACTGAAGTAATCTAATTTCACAAACTACATTTAGTATGATTATAATGTAAATGTGACCCGCTCCACAAAAAAGGGTATTAGTTCGCAAAAAAAAGTGAAATTGGGTAAAATACTGGAAAGCCCACAATATAAGCTTTCGTTTGGTATATAATAGAACCTCCCGTTCTGGAGATATGACGTAATTGCATTACTTCCTTGGAGTTCGATTTACACAACTGAGAAAACAGGCTTGAAATAGCCGGCTCTGTTGTAGATTTGGGCACAATGCACTCAAAATTGTCTCTTTTTTCCCATTTTATTCATCAAAATCAACATTTCTGTGAATGAACCCTCAATACATGAGGTATTAGTGATGTCATTCATGACAAAATTTAAAATCACATTTTGATGAATGCACAGCACAACTTAATACACATTTTTGTAGAGTGGGTCACAAATGTGTGCCGAGGCGTGCGGTACTTGCTGCGATTATTCGCACTTCTGGAGCAATAGGCGTGTGATGCTGTGCACGCAGGTGCGATCCCACGCGCCTCAAAATCAGGACTGTTGAACTCAAATTGAACAATGAGATCCATTTGTAATTCACCTGTAGATATCTGAGCATTCATCTGGCTCATAGTTGACATCCGCCCAACGTTCTGGACTGATGTAGTTCACTGTTTCCCCAACTCTTTGCTTGGATCTCCTTATGGATTCCTGGGTAGCAGCGAATCCAACTCCAGAAATCTACAAGGTGTATAAAAAATCCACTTATTTTGTTTCCAATGTTTTACAATGGATTCACTCTCAATGACTGTTGCTCACTGCTCATGTAAAATTCTTGTAATTGTAAACATGGTCAAGCATAAAAAAGTGTTAAACTTGATTCAGAATTACTGAACCAAATCTACATGTACATGAATACACAGACTGCCACCTCTTACTACAAAGTAAACAATAAATCAATAATTTTCTCTTAAGAATATACCAGCCCTTTTCAAAGGTTCCATAATGTGAAAATATTTGTTACTTAAAAAATATGGGAAACATGCAACATTCAAAGTAAAATGTTTAAAATGATCCAAGTTAATAAAGACACTTTCACTAACCTTCATTTTCCAGTTGTTATCAACCAGAAATACGTCACTGGTCACATCCCGATGCATTATGCTTGGTTCTGTGTTGTGCATACGGCACAGGCCTAGGGCTCCATCCAATGCCATCTGAACGCGTCTCTCCCAAGGCAGTATTTTCATGTCGGTACCGTCCTTGTCAACAGAGTCTAGGACCTCACGCAAGCATCCCTTTGCCATGTACTCAAAGACAAGCAGATAGGGGTCTAAAATACAGTGGAAGAAATGGTATAGCGTGCAAGGCAAGTGTGATCTGAATCATCGTGTCCCCTTTATTACTAAACACTGATACAGATCCATAATTATGCACTGTGTAAATCCAAAGGATTTTATTGGGAATATACCGGTACCTGACTCTGCAAAGAACTAACAAAGGACAGAGTATCGAAAACAAATTTGCCCCTACCACACGCCCTCTAGCATGTCTAGTATTAAATCCATCCAAACCATACAAAACCAACAGTACCAAGGTTAAAAATCTGGAATCTTTCTGGGGACAAAACATATGTGTCTATTTCTTGGCAGGTCTGAATTTCTACAAGTTCTACGGGGGGGTCTAAGGGTTTAGCCCCCCCCCCCCCAAAAGCCCCCCAAAAATGATTGGCCCAAATAAAAATGAAATAGCAGTAGTGAATGAGACTGTCAATTGTATTGATAACAATAACATACATGTCCTGTAGCTATTTGTGAGGAGGCACTTGTACACTATTAGGTAATATAGTGTTTAAGATTGCAGGATTTTATCAGCGCTTCCATTGAAAATATGGTTCGAGTCCCCCCCCCCCCCCCCCCCCCCCCCCCTCCTCCTCCTCCTATGGATTTTCGGAGGCTAAGAGTCCGGCTCAAGAACAGCGCCTGTAAGCCACTGTGAGAACGTCAACCAGTTTGACATGTCAATTAGAAAGAATGTTACAAAAGCATACCCTTTTTGGTCCAGACACCCAACAGGCGAACAAGGTATGACGTATTCAGTCGGAGAAGATTATTGGCCTCTCTCAGCAAAACTTCCGTCACACTTTTATCGTTGCTGAGGTAGCACAGGTACATACAAAAGATTCAATGGCAAAAATGAAAAGGTAAAATGCAGTAGTCTATAACCATTTTTGTACAGCAACCATGGTAGTGTACAGACTTGATCCTTTTATCAGTTCCGTATCCTGGATATTCAGGATTACAACAGGTCACACATCTCACTATGATGTCAAACTTGAGAGGCTAGGCAGTGATAGTACATGGACTCAAAATATGTGTCACTTCTTAGTTCAAAGACTGAGTATTCAGGTGACCACAAAATCCACATATATATAAAGATCAAAAAAACGAAACAACTCATACTGATCAAATGTTTTGATATATGATACATGTAGGCCTTCTTAAAGGGACTGACAATCTGTGAGTTGGGTTTTTTCAAACCATTATAGGGGTCAAATATGTACATAGCATTATTGGCTACAAAAGCTAACAATTAATAAAGTAAACCTACCCAATGGAAAAAGATTTAACCGCCACTCTTTCGCCTATGTACATTGCTGAGTAGTTCTCTCCAAAGCGGCCCTTGCGAAAGTCAGATTTGTCTCCAAGTTGGTCTGGATTAATTTGCTGCAGGCTTGCCTCTACTCTCTGGTACCTGCTCATTGTGCTTGGGTTTTCTGCAGAAAAAAGAAGATGGCACAATATGCAATGTAATCAGCTCACCAACAACACTTTTTACAATTCAGATGCAATCTTGAAAACCTCTGCAGCCAATTTCACGAAACTTTACACGATGGCACAACTCCGCTTGTGTAACAATTTATTGCGTAAGCTGCGCAACATTTCACGCTGCACAACATTTCACTTATGTCACATTTCACTAAAGTCTCATAGTCCACGACTTGCACAAATAAATTATGGCGTTACTTGCACAATCATTTTAGGTGGTGCAAGTTGTGGCGCAGCGACTGAAAATGACCTATTTTACAAGTAAATCGTGATCGTCATGGCGCCTGCCATGGCACAACTTATCAAGGTTGATACAAGACACTCACAGATTTGTGTTTGAGGTACATTAATTGCTACTTTACTCGTGACAGAATTTTTAGAGTTGCCGCACAACTCCGAAGAAAGTCAGACAAAGTTATTTTTCAAAATAGTGGGCCGAGGTGATTCAACGACTGTTTCGTGAACGAACAAATTCATACACAAACAGCCTTCGTAAATGCTGTTATCCTCATCAAAGCTGTTTATATTATTTTAAACATTGCACAGCTAAGCCAAAGTCCTGAAATTGATCGTAAGTTTATTGCACAGCCGCGCAACAAATTTGTTGCGTATGTCCTATGCATGGCGCAAGCTGCACACTTTATTGTGAATTCGGCTGCTGGTCTGATAACTACCCACTAAAATTAAACTTGTGGGTATACCATGAAAGTCCAGCCTCCAGTGTTGAGAAGAATTAATTGTGATCTGTACATCCAGGCAAATCCTGGTAATAAACACTAAAGTGCGATTTATTTATTTATTAACAAGCCGATCAAAACGGGTTTTTTTAAATGAAGCTCTCCAAAATAATTGTACATGTACTTACCAGATGAAGTTGCAGGCGGAACTTTCAAGTCTTCAAGCATCTTCTTGATTTCCTCTTGTCCTGTAATTTTAAACAAAAGACTAGGTTTAATTTGAAATTTACAGAAATCCTGTATGCATGTTATGGGCTCTGTCACAGAACAATGAATGGATCACATGTACATCCCCAATTTCATGGAATTTTGGCTTATGTGCATACGTAATATACATCCCGTAACTAAGGATTCTGTGCTTTTAGGGTTAGCGCAGAAATTTTCTTCTAGCACTGTTAGTACAGAACGTTGATATAAGTGCACAATTCTGTGGTTATCATAGCAGTGTCGTAAAAGTCTGCAATCTTTTAATTTGACTCACCTTGGGCCAACTTGGAAATGTCATCCTGTATTTTCTCAGGTCCTGCAAGGACAAGGAAATAAAAATGCACATGTTCACAATTATAGCAATTTACAAGACCAACTAAATATGTTAAAAAAGCAAATGTCATTTTTCAGCCATAAAAGCTCTCAAAACTGAAATATTGGGAAGAATAATGTAGACATCAATCACTGGTACTAATGGTGAATGGTGCCATGCAGACAATTATTACATGGACATAGCTTTACAGAGGAGTTGCATTTATCAAAGTAGACCCAGTAACTGGGGCGTTTGAACTCCTTTTTGTTCTTTGCAGTTCGCACTAGATACGTCCGACCAAAGTCAAATTTTGTCCAAAAAAGAGTTACCGGATCAAAGCGTGTGGGATATATTATGAACATTTATGATGAAAGAAACTTCAAATGATTGTCTGCATACACGTATAAACAGTATTATAATACAAGTAAAACAAATAAATACATGTACATGTATGAACATGTACATGTATGGCATGCATGTATACACTGAAATAAACATAACGAGCATGCATACATTGTAGGTATATACTGAACTGATCGATACTGTGAAAATGCATTAACTCCTTAACACCGGCTGACAGCTCTAGAAGCAGCTCAATGAAAGCCGATAAGCAGGGGACTGCTATTGCCGCATTCCTGCTGCATAGCACAAAACATTTAGACACCACCTGAATGCCTGCACGTACACATTCTACCCAATGTCAGCTGTCGGTGGCCAATAAATGCCGGCGTCAAGGGGTTAAGAACAAAGATGCAACATTTGTATACACTGTACACATGTACATGTTGCACACTGCTATGGCCTACCACAAAGCTCACATTTTTCATATTTTCTTTGTTTCACATTTAATATGAACAGATGGAAGGAAATTTTTACATTTTGCTGTACAAAACTTACACACATGTACCATACATGTACAATTTACAAAGAAATACATGGTGAGCTGATTCAATGTACCTGCATGATATGCCCCAATGAGGTCACGTTCATCCTCCTCTTGATCCGCTTTGTCATCCTCAAGCCTACTAGCATTGATGTACGCATAATCAACTTCTCTTTTTTCAGTTGCCAGACTTAACAGAAGGGCTGATGTCTTAAAGTCAAGTTCCTCACTGTACTCATCAAAGTCCCTACCAATTCTGCCTTTGTACAGTAACTTGTACAAATCAGGAAATCGATGGTTGTCCAGTGATCCAAGGAAGTCATGAATTCTCTTTAAAAGTTGTAGGATCCCACCAAGCGCTTTACTGAACAATTTCAGACCTTGAGGTGTTTGTGCATGATCAGGCACATGTTGCTCACTGCTGGCCAATTTTTCAATGGGTGGCATCAAATCATCTATGCGATTTTTGAGACGGCGATGGCGATTCTTGAAGTGTTTAACTTCTTCAATCCTTTCGTATATTTTTTTTGCTGTGCTTACAATCATCTGTGCCAGTGAAAAGACGTCCATTTTTGTTGTATGTCTTTGTATTAGGCTGAAAAGACAAGGAACATGAATGGTCTGAAATAGCAGTCACACCAAAAACAAAAATTCCAAACAAAAGAACGTTTGAACGAGTCACATCTTTAAAATACTATTAGGCCATCAAGTTTGGGTTTTGTTTGTTCAGCATGCCAAGGAAGTTAAAGGTTGATCTTTGGCTTAAACTAGCCCCTGTCTATGGTCATCCAGTCATGTGGACTATAAACTCTGTGCTTCGGAGGCATGAAGTTTAGTCCAGTGACTGGCCAATACACTGTATACTAGGGCTGAGCAAGGTGTGCTACAGTAATAATAATAAATTATACTTGCCAACTGGCGCTGAAGCGCACACCTGAAAACTGTTTGTCGGCCACCTTCGGCTGCTGTTCTACCGCACAGCCCGTGATGCGAGTGACGCAAGCCTCATACTAGTGCAGCAGTGGTACATCAAACAGTCGTCGGGTGTTCGCTTCAGCGCCAGTTTGCAAGTTTGACTCGTGTGCGCACTGTGCATGGTAATCGCGGCGCATTGCCATTCCTTTGTACCAACAACTTTTGGCTAACCGAGATCGTACCGATCCTGGGGGGACAGATCTTTTCGTATAGCTGCACCACGTCTTTGGAATAGTCTCCCCATTAACATCCGATCTAGCACATCTCTCAGCTCATTCAAAACGGCTCTGAAAACACACTACATGTACTATAATCTAGCCTACACCACATAGTAAGCTTTTCTGCTGTCAGACTGTACATTACATGTACATTGTTTTTCTTCTTGTTTGTTTTATCATGTTTTTTTCTTTTCTATTGTAGCGCCATGAGCGCCTTTTGTTAGGTGGATGTGTGCACTTTAGTAGTATCCATTATTATTATTATTATTTGTACACAAACCAATATGGCCAGCAAGCATAACTTGATCGACTATCAGTAAAAATGCCTCCTTTTTTACTTCAAAGTGCAATTGTAGGCTGAATCTTCATCGTGGTTTTGATCGTTAAGCAATTATGCCTGACAAGGTTTGGGTGAGTTCCAAGGGGAATTTAATAGTGTGTCATGAGGACACCCCTAGAACTAGTATGGGAGAGCATGCGGAAAACTAACTGGCGTAATTAATTATTGTTGAAAAACATACTTGGTTAAAAGATAGTAAGGGGGCTAAACTCCCTGTGAAATTATTCTTTCTGGCAAGCTGTCATTTTGAAGAAATCCTTTCCAACGAAGTGTCTAGAAACACTGGGGTTTTTTTTAATTTGGCGAAGCGCATGCAAGCATTGACACAATTCGTCGGATCAATGCACGACATCGCGTAGCTGCAATCAGCTAGTGAGAGCGCGTCTCAGACGCTGAATTCAGGCCCAATTCAAAACATGATTCAGCAACTTTTGATTTGAAATCGAGATCCTAGAATGTTGTTTTTCTTGGAATATACACATGATACAGCTGAAGCTGAGCTGAAACTTCATCAGGTTAGTTGTTCAGCACCCTTCTTTAGATTTTGAGCACTTTTGTAGTCCGAGTAACTTGGACCCAACTTATCGCCTTTTTTAACATTTGGACATGGTCTGGCGATAGTAAGGTCCAAGCTAATACCGAGACCTAGACAACACAGTCCCAAAAACCAACATTTTCCAACAAAAAACATAAGATTTCGCCTTCAAAACGGCCTCCAAATTACTAGATATGTCACCTGAGGTACAAGTAGACATAGATGATTAAGATGGTTGTACTTAAGTTTACTTACGATCCGGAAAAAAGTGAAATTTTCCGTTCAATTCTGAAGACCCCCCTCTGCCTAGGTTGTCGTTGTTGTGCTCACGTTCAAAACTGCATGATAATGGCGTCTGACCTCGACCTCATGCAAATGTCGGGACGGCGCGCTTGCGCATAATGCACTGCATGCACGGCAGATTCCCCTGCGCCGCGCCGACGACTGTTTCCTGATGTAGAGCGCCAGCCATGCGCCTGGCTAGCCAGCGCGACTCCTAGGCGTACCGCGAACTTACACAGCACTCTACATCAGGAAACAGTCGTCGGCGCGGCGCAGGGGAATCTGCCGTGTCGTCACGACATTTGCATGAGGTCGAGGTCAGATGCCATTATCATGCAGTTTTGAACGTGAGCACAACAACGACAACCTAGGCAGAGGGGGTCTTCAGAATTGAACGGAAATTTCACTTTTTTTCCGGATCGTAAGTAAACTTAAGTACAACCATCTTAATCATCTATGTCTACTTGTACCTCAGGTGACATATCTAGTAATTTGGAGGCCGTTTTGAAGGTGAAATCTGATGTTTTTTGTTGGAAAATGTTGGTTTTTGGGACTGTGTTGTCTAGGTCTCGGTATTAGCTTGGACCTTACTATCGCCAGACCATGTCCAAATGTTTAAAAAGGCGATAAGTTGGGTCCAAGTTACTCGGACTAGCACTTTTGTTGCTTCAAACATGTCAAACGAACAAAATGCACAAATTACAAATGATGGACTAGGCCTATACCTTCAACTTAGCAAGTAAAGCTTTAACTTCATAAATGAACTACAAAGTCTAACGTAAAATGTGAACGTAAAAACTTGACAAAGCTACATTTGTAAATGTAGAACATTGTCAGGTGCATGTTCCAAGTGTGACCTTTATTTACGGAGGGTGTCCAGTCATTTGGGGTTTTTTTGGCCACATTTATATAGCTAGCTAGGTCACACCAAATTATCCAACTGAAATTCTATTCTCCGATCAGATTCATACTGGCAACCTGAACTTACGCTTTCGAGTCAACTCGTACCTTGGGCAACTCGTACCTTGGACAACTCGTACCTTGGACAACTCGTACCTTGGACATCTCGCACCTTGGACAACTCGTACCTTGGACGACTCGTACCTTCAATTAAGACGACTCGTACCATCAGAATAAAAAGTAGAGTACGTGCGTGATTTAGTGTGTACAGTTTGTGGTTCCTTGACTCCGAAACGATACGATTCTTTTCAAGTCAAAGTTAATTTTTATCCCACAGAACCACATTCAAGATCTAATGGCTTTGCCAGACAGCGTGATTTTCGGCGTTGGGCCTGCCGCACGGCAATGAAATTGACTGCCGGGCCGGCCTCCGATGGCGCGAGCAGCGGTCGCCGTGCGCGGTACCGATGCCGGTGACTCGGAAGCGGCCGGCCTGCGCGACGCGCGCGGCACTGCCATTCTGTTTTTAATGGAATTACATGTACTTGGAAAAAAAAAAACAATTAGCGGTAAACACATAGTTTTGGGATGAAAGTATATCGATTCCGTAATACATTTATTTGCAATTTTTGAAGTAGGCCCAAGTCTCTAAATGCCGTTGAAAAACGGCAAACTGCAACAATGTCACCGTGCACGGACGGTCCGACTTGTTAAAATGAAATCAATCAATAATGGTGGACTATATATAGCAGCAAATGTCTTTCGAGCAGCGAAAGTTAGTATTTCCTAACAAAATTGGAAATATTTGCCAGTCCAAGATTCACGTCTTATCATTTTTGCGGTGATAATATATATGAAGAAAAAAGTAGTTCAGGCGATTAGAGGGATCAATAATAGGAAAATGTTGCAACCTGACGCCACTTTTTTCTTCATATAAATATATCATCTCAATGATGGTCATTCCTTGCAAAAATGATGGTAAGACGTGAATCTTGGATAAAAACATCAGTTCCATAATATTTGCACGTAGTCTAAGTCTCTAAATGTAACGGAAGACTGCATCAAAAATGTCACCGTGCACAGACGACCGGTCAGCGCGGCGCAAGAACCGTGTCACTTTGCACGGATGGCTACCGTAGGTTGACCTTACCGCGTGACGTACCGCGTGGGCCTGTGCATGCCGCGCACACAGTGCGTGTAACCTGCCGCGGCCGCGGCCGGCTTCGCGCTAAATAAATTCCTCTTTTGGGGGGAAAGAGAGCCCATACCGTACCAAAAAGAGATTCGCCTTTATTTTAATAAGCAGTCAACTTTCAATGAGTTACGGTCCACTTTATTCAGCCTCGGATCATTATCCTGACGGTACGACTTGACTTACGCGTGATGGTACGAGTCGTCTTAACTGAAGGTGCGACTTGCCGAAGGTACGAGTTGTCCAAGGTACGACTCGGTATAATGACGTCGAGTTGAAGGTACGAGTTGTCCAAGGTACGAGTTGCCCAAGGTACGAGATGACCTGTTACCGAACTTACTTACCTGCACGTAGGTACCTAGCTCAGTCACTGAAGCTGCAACTACAGGTATTGCTCTATGAATCAATGCAGCAACTTGCACGCACTATCGCACTCAATTTGTAAAACTTAAGTGAAACTACTGTAGTACTACATGTAGCTTAGCTTGCACGGCCGTTGTCCGCCATCTTGACTTCGCACAAAGCTTGGACTACACCATTTCAAGTAGGGGTGCAGGTGTAAGAAATGAAAGACAGGAATTATTCCATTATCCTGGTTCTCAGTACCCCCCTCCCGTTCCTTTCCCCCCACCCAGGGACCCCACCCCGCCCCTCAAGGTGTTGGGATATGTGCAATGGCCATTCAACCAAAGAATGTGCATATTCCACCCACTGTGTCTTTGTTCCCCCGCCCCCCCCCCATCCCCTCCCCCTCCCCCACCCCACCTGCAGGCCTCCCCCCACCCCACCCGCGGGCCATCCCCACCCCAACCCACCGCCCAACTCCGTTGCATCGGGATACAGGGTAAAAGGGACAGAAAAAAAAGAGACACACACACATTTCATCAAACGGGATCCCTTTAATCAAACGGGATCCCTTTAATCTTCGTAACCGCCTTTCACTGAGCTATATATATCTCCTGCACGTTGCACGTGTTTATATCACGTGATTACTTCACTATCATTCGCAATTTTGGACAGTGTTAGCGAGCAATTTTTATGCATATTGCTCGCGGCCATCGCCGTATCAGACCGGCCACCCACATGTGCCACACCATATCAAAGCTGAAAACCTGTTCTATATGGAACTAATTCCGGTTTTCCCGAACCAAATTCGAGAAGAGAGAAATTTAGGATTAAAAAGATGGACTCCCTCGAAAAATAAGAAGTTTTGGTTCCTAAAAAAAAAACCGCTAAAAAATGTTTCAACTGTCAAAACTCAAGCAATAGGTCATCGATTTTGATGCTTTCTTCGGCAAAAGAAAGCAGATATCATGAGCTTTTCTACTGTAAATTTCTGGCATGTGCACTCTCCGATGCATAATGATTTCATTCATAAAACTGAAGCGAGTCGGGCTGAAATTGATGGCATGAGCGCAAGCACGAACTCAACGTTGACGTCATAATGAGGGGCGTGTTGACCCCAATTTGCATAGGTGAATTTCCGCGATAAGTTTGTATGTGACACATTCTTCCTGTTATACGATCCAGACGCGGCATGTGCGTTCTGAATACTGAAATAACGTGTATTTGAAACCATCTGGTTCAGCAAACTCGGCTGCGTGGATGGCTAGCTAGCTGCGTACCAGTGATCCGTTCAACATGAAGTGTACGATCCAAACTACAAAAGGCAAGAACTTCCGGTACGCTTGACCCAATAAAAGGGGATTTCCCAAATTACTGTTCTACGAAAATCCACCACTGCAAATGAATAGAGATTAGTTTATTAGTTTTTTGGGGTCATTGTTTTTGGCATTGATAAAAAAATTTGCAGAAATTGTGGACATGCTGCGAATTAATATGTTGATGTATGAACTATAATGAAGCCCCAAAACAAAAGTGGACAACTTTTTCTTCTTAGTCTAAAAAGTGGATAACTATTTGCTGCTAGCAAATTCAAGTTCACGTTTTGTTTTTAAACCACTCAATATATTTTTTGAAAATGTAAATTTTAAAAGTTGGATTTACCTTGATTCTACTCTCTCATCGTCGCCCCAAATGCGAACGACTAAAAGTGTCAAATTCACAAACAAGATGCTGGATATTATCATTAGATTTTATGGTTTATAAATTGGAAGTTAATAGAATCTGTCAAGTTCGCCATGTCAACTTTCCTCCCAATTTTATGTTGAATTTCTGGATACACCATCTTATCGTTCCGCTTTCAGACTAAACTTTTTTTTTGTCAAAAAACGTACGAGGGAAGCTGGTGAGAAAAGTCAGTGTCATAAAGGGAGTCCACTTGTTTTAAATCATTATACATGTAGGCTGCTCCCCCAACCACCCCTCTACCCCCCCCCCCCCCCCCCCCCCCCCCGCACCCAGTGGCGTCGCCAAGGGGGGCACGTGCCCCCCCCTGGAAAACCTAGTGCCCCCCCGAGTGCCCCCCCATCTGAGATTTGGGTTGGTAAAAAAATATATATATATTTTGTTATATTCAACTCCCATCATCTGAGTTGGTTAAATAGCAATTTCTGGAGATATCTTCAGATCAAATTTAGCATCAAATGTGGCACCATTTTGCATCTAGCCCATCCTCCGTCCCCTCCCCTTAGACCCCTCCCCCAGGACGGCGATCCGTATCCACCTAAGTGCCCCCCATCAAATGCTGGTGCCCCCCGGGTGCCCCCCCAGACTGAAAAGTCTGGTGACGCCACTGCCCGCACCCCCCAAAAAAATAAATAAATAAAATAATGATGATAATAATAAACACAAAACAAACAAAAGGTCCAAACATTGCAGCTGATAACGGCCATGCACAAATCACTGAAATTTGAAAGTCCAAAACTAGAATTGGATAAGAAATATTTTTCATATTTATTTGCCACAAATAAAATTGTGTACAGTACATTGCCGTGTCCTTTACCAAAAGTGTTATAAAGTGTTGTTACATGTTCATAAAAATGTACATGTGCAGCATTACATCTTTGGGGGGGGGGGGAGGACATACATACATGTATTAGACGAGGCATTTCCGGAAAGATTCCCATATCTGGCCATCACTTTTCACCCTGTGCACAAACCGTATGAGACGTCTGAAAATGTGTGTTTTCTCAGTAAATACTTCAATATTTTCCCTGTTAAAATTGACATTTTAGGACATATCACTTTCTGGTGGCTGATAGGTCACTGAAGGGAAAAATTAGTGATGGCCAGATATGGAAATCTTTCCACATTTCCCTTTTTCAAAGCTTCTCTGTTCCCCAAGAAAAGTTTTTATTTTTGTATGGACTAAGGGGAGTTGACTTTAGTTTGTTTTTCTGAGTCGAGACATCTGTTACAGTATTGAAACTGGATAATGGGGGAAAGATGCAAGAATGTTGTTAAAAAATTACAATGATTAAAATAAACAAAGGAAACACTAAAATACAAGTACAATATCACTCAATGGATAAGAAAAGAAACAAGAAGTTTGCATCATTGTAATAAGGACAAGTTTCAATCATCAACTGACAGGGGGAGGGGTGATGGCAGGGGCGGATCCAGGAATTATTGCGGTGGGGTCAGGCCAGTCAGATTTGTTTATATCGGATTGTTGCACACGGGCGGACATATAGGTAATGCAGCTCATTGTTACTGATGCACTTATTGTTATATTTATTTTTTAGGGTTTGCAGAGCAGGGGGGGGGAGTGTTTGAACTCCAGAACATCCCCCCCCCCCCTCCTGGGAGGAGAAATGTCATGTTCGCTGATAGAGTTCTGCTGGGTTTTTTTTGGGGGGGGGGTTGCTGGTGCCAAGGGGCCCTTCAGGGGTTGGGACAGAGAATGGAATGTGGACCTAAAATATGTATTTAAATGTAAACTACTGTATTTACAATGGGCACAAAATAATTGAGTTCCTCCTGTCTGTGCTGAGTGAATCTTCACTTGACAACAGCCAGTCTCCATCAATTGACGATGGTCATCTACCACCACGGTTGAATCCTATGGTTAAACACGAATCAAGAAAAGAGTCAATATTATCCAAATATTATCACCATCACAAAACCCTGCACTTGCTAGCATAGGAAATGCATACCATTATGGTCTACCAGGTCTAGGGTAAGGCCACAAAACAGGATATGTTGTGTTTCCGGTAATACCTCCAAAACAAATGGAAGGGTCAATAGTTTTGGGTGTTTATAATAGTTATACATGTCCATGGATACTTATGTACACACTATATATGTATACATCAAACATGTACATTTACATACTGGAAGACAACTGGACAAACAGACATACACATTTGTAAAAAAAAGGGTAGTTTATTACACACTTAGAAGTATTCTTGACTTGCATTTGGGATATTTTTATATTTCTAAAAAAATACATTTTCAAGTGCTATCCCAATGTACAAATCGTTTTACACCCGGCCAGGTTACCGGAAACAAAGGCTTAATCAAGCATCTCATATTGGATTTACAAATATGAAAATAAGAAAAAGGAATCATATGAACCTAGAGAGTTGTTAGCTTAAAATACGGCAATGCATGCCAAGGAGTACTGAAGGTGGCAAATATTTGACAGGTACAATGTTCTGCAACTATTACACTTTGTTTCCTGTTTAACAGAGGACAAACAAAACACTACATTCAAGGAAGAAATCTGAAAACAATTTACAAATACAGTATATTTCAAAACAAGTTTCAACACAAATTATGTGATCAACACTTACCCCTTGAGAAACCACCCCTGCCGCGCCCTCCTCGAAAGCCTCTATCACCACCTCCGCCCCTCCCACGGAAACCACCACTCCCACCGCGTCCTCCTGACATGACCAACCAAAATGAATACAAATGCCTTATCTATGTGCTGGAACTCAAAGACACTGTCGAAAAATTATTTCTCGGCTTCTTTTAGATTTCAAACAGCTGGAACCGATTTCACGAAACTCATCTTATCTTGCAACTCATCTTAGGACTTAAGAGAAGTCCACTCCCCACTCTAAGACGCGTCCAAAGACTGATTTCACTAAACCCCTCTTAAGCAAGACACATCAAAACTACCCATATGGCTGTTTCATGTTTGTTGTTACCGCTTGACAAAACAGTCGTTGAAAAGAAACGTGCAAAAACAACTTCCCGCTTGCCACCGCTGTTTTCAGGTCGACATTAGGTTTGTGCAAATGTCCATGCTTTAGCTCGTACAGGTTTAGCTCTTGTGGCAAAATTGTATCCGGTCTTGTTTTGCGTTAAAACAGCTCACCAGAGGATGTCTTTTTAATCACTTCTTGAAATTAAAAATAAGTTTTTGATATTTAAGATATAACAATAAATCTACAGAAAAAGGACTATAATTTTTTTTTATCAGATAGGACTATGAACTTTTCGGCAAGTCTCTTGATGAGAAAACACCTCCAAAAAATTACTACGCGTATATCCTCGTCCCTGGCAGTTCTCAGTGATTTGTTTTAATGAACGGGCTCATGAATATTCATTTTACGGCACGGCTC